CCAGCAGCCTTGAGTGCTGAGCTCACCTAGGTGGGCTCCCTAGCCCAGGTCCGAGGCATTGGAAACCAGAGTCAGCTACGGGAATGGGGCCGCAAAGGGAACTCCCTCTAACTCCGATCTGGGGTCCAACCACCAATTCAGGAACAAACGTATATGATCCGGCACCGTGACTACCCAGTCTAGACCACGTCTGATGGGGATGTAGACCAATGGCAACCATGCCTGCATTGGCCGGAGATGGAGCCGAGCACGACGGACCATATATGTACCTGCTACCATGTGGCCTAACAATCTCAGGCAGGTGCGAGCAGTGGTGAGTAGATGGTCCTTCACATGGGACATCAGGTCCAACATTGCCTAGAAATGGGCCTCCGGAAGGAAGGCTCTTGCTTGTGTGATGTCAAGGACCGCCCCTATGAACTCTCTCCGTTGTACTAGCCTTAAGGTTGATTTTTTTTTCTCATTTATCAACAGGCCCAGGTCCTGACAGGTGGAACATACCAGATCGAGGCTCCTTTGTACCAGTTTCCAAGACCTGCCCTTGATGAGTCAATCATCGAGATACAGGTAGACCTGGACACCTCAGTTAAGCGGCCATTGGTGCCATACATTTTGTGAACAGCCTTGGGGCCGACAAGAGTCCAAAGGGCAGTGACATGAATTGGAAATGATGCCAGCCCACTATAAAACGGAGGAACGGCCTGTGCCCTTGCAAGATAGACATATGGAAATAAGCGTCCTTCAAAGTCAAGGGCAGTGTACCAGTCTCCCAGATCAAGGCAGGGGATGATGGAGGCCAGTGAGACTATGTGAAACTTCAACTTCTTGAGAGATTTGTTGAAGTGCCACAGGTCCACGATGGGCCTCCGGCCCCCTTTTGCTTTCAGGATTAGGAAATAACAGGGAACAGAACCCTTTTCTTCTCATTTCCCAAAGAACCTCCTCCACTGCCTCGAGCTGCAGGAGGTTCTCAATCTCTTGAATGAGGAGTTGCTTGTGAGAAAAGTCCCTGAAGAAGGACGTCAAAAGGGGAGGCATCCGAGAATTGCAGGATGTAGCCCAGAAATAACTTCTGGCACCCAGAGGTCCCAGGTCACGTGTGACCAGGCCGAATGGTAGGGGCATAGGTGGTTGAGGAAAGCATGAGGCAAATCCGGGAAGTTGACTGGGGTGTTGCTCTTGAGCACACCCTCAAAATGAGTGCTTCTGTCCCCCCATGATGCTTCGCCAGGCTGGGTTGTGCAGGTGAGCGAGAGGGGGAAGGGCGGTGAAGACTAAAATTTGTGTCTCTATCCCTTCTCCTTGCAGACCCCTGTCGAGGCTGCCAAGGCCTTGGAGGCGGGGGCAGCTGGAACTGCTTCCTCACCGACTGTGGCGTAAGCAGAGCCAGCGAGTGGAGGGTGGCCTGAGTGTCCTTTAGTCCATACAGCCTCTCATCCATTTGCTTTGAAAAGAGTCCATTCCCATCAAACAGGAGGTCCTGGATGGAGAACTGCATCTTCTGGGACAGGCCCACGATCTGAAACCAAGAACCGCACCTCATGACCACTGCCGATTCAACCACCCTGCCAGCCACATCCCATGCCATTTGGAGGGAGCATCTTGCCACAGCTGTACCCTCCTCAACTAGGGCCCTGAAATCTTGGGCCGAGTCCTGCGGCAGGGACTCCTTGAACTTATGGAGGGAGTCCCATAAGTTAAAGTTATATCTCCCCAAAAGAATCTGGTGGTTTGCCATCCTGAACTGAAGGCTGGCTGTTGAATATATTTTCCTTCCAAAAAGGTCCAGGCTCTTGGCCTCCTTATTTTTGGGGTTAGAACTTGTTTGCCCCATCTGTCTTTCTCATTGGCCACAGAGATGACCAGCCAGCCTACAGGCGGGTGAGCATACAAGTATTCAAAATCCTTAGCTGGGACAAAATACTTCTTTTCAGCTCTCTTGAAGGTGTGTAGGCTGGAAGATGGGGTTTGCCAGAGGACTCTGGCTATTTTCAAGACTCCATTGTGCACCGGTAGCATGACGTGCTTGAGTAGATGCCAAGAGCACATTAAACAAAGTGTCTGACTGTTCTACCATCTCCTCCACCTTCAGGCTCAAGTTCGTGGCCACCCTTTGAAGCAGGCCCTGGTGCTCTTTAAAGTCGGCCGGCAGGCTGACATGACAGGGCCCCACAAACCCCTCATCTGGGGTAGAGGAGCGAGTACTCACGGCAAAACCTCCTTCCCCACGGGACATGATGCCCCTACTGTAAATAATCTATTTACAAGACACTACAAGCTCGAAGAAATGAGAGAACCGCTAATTACTTGCTAGGCAAGAGAAAAGGGCACTCTGACCAACCACCATGGGCAGTAAGAAGAAAATGAGAGGGCACAGGGTTGGCAGTGCCTAATATACTGATGCATGAGCGCGGCACTCCAGAGGGTGCCACAGCCAACCCCACGAATACTGCTAAGGCAAAAATCTCTGACGACTGTGCATGTGGGCATGCACACATCCTAGAATGGAATTGACATGAGCAAGCACTTGAAGAACTACTTTTGAATAGTTAGGGAGAAACCCCTTCAAACAACAGTCAAAATTAAGATATTGAAGCACAGAAAACAGGACTATAAAGGAGAAAAATTTAACATATAGAGTTTTGACAGGAAAACATAATAAACAAGTTTCATAACTAAAATGTAAGAAAAACAGAAGTTTGGACTCAAATATGAGAATGAAAGACTAACCAACATTACTAACTGACAAGACAGAGGAGGAAGACCAAGAGTAGAAAAGCTTCAGCCACAATAAGTGATCAATACCACAGAGCTGAAGAAAGTAGCACATCCCATCAACACAGCTTTAGGGATTTCTATAGGCCAATTTATAATCATGTATTAGTGTATATACTAAGTTTATATCTATTTTAGTTGTAAAACAAGTTTTATAAGATTTCTTTTACATAAGAATGGCTTTGTTAATAAACAAATTAAAGTAAAAAAGAAAACACTACGTTCCATAATCTGTTTATGGGGAAGACTTCAAAATGACAAGCCTGCCATAGAAATATCTCCTGGCTCTACAGGTGAACAAATCTCTTGCTTAAGCTAAAAACCGATCATAATACAGATACTGTAGGTGTACTGAGCTGGGGAGGGGGGCACTGACATTCATCTAAATCATCAGGTGTTGGTCACCGCCAGCCAGTCTTATTAGACTTGATGAACTTACGGTCCTACTTGTATGACAAAATTTATGGTTCAGTGTAACTTCAAAGCAAAAAGTAGTGATATTTAAAGACCACTGAAACTGTTAATAATAAACCCCCTTATATTCAAAATATTTTTTCACACTATCCGTTGCTTCTACTATATAAAGATGTGGAGCAGACATTTTGTCAGATACTAGACAAATATTTCCTTGAGAATATTTTGCAGCCAAATTTCTAAAGGTGGTGTATTGCTTCCCTTTCTGTATTCCTCAACAGCAGATAAAATAAAAATTTACAGGAGAGTAGAAACTTTTTTTCCTCTGCAGTACAGTCCAACAACACACCTGCCTATGCAAAGTAGATGACCTGTGAGAGTAGAGATCATGTAATATTCTTCCCTAAAGGGCATGAAAAGATGATTGGATCTTCTGCAAAAACAGGTCATCTGGAGGACAATTTATCGGTCTGGATTTGCAGCAGACCTGATTACTCAAATATCTGTTAATTTTGGCTTCTCTGAAATCCAGAGTAAAAAAAAATTCAATGTTTACCACTGCAAATGATAAAAATGTTTCAGAGCTACACAAAATAGTGGAAAGTAAAATACAAATAGTTTAAAACTGTCAAATTATTTGATGATATTAGAAGAATTTAAAACTCAAATATTATTAAATAGTAAAACCTATTCTATAGTAGTGAATTGTTGCCTGCTTATATCCTTGGAAGTATCAGCATAGAAATGTCAGATAACCACTAATTTAATCTGCCCCATATCCCCTGTTTGGGCCTGATTCTTTCAATTATACTTTGCTTTAAAAATCAAAGGAGTTTCTCCAGAATTATATTAGTCTAACTCAGTTCAGATTCTGGCCCTCTTCCGTGTGTAGCTATATTCAGCTGTCCCTTCATGCCTCCTGTGCAGATAGGAGGAGGGGGCATTGCTGAGCAAATTATGCTCCAGCAAACTTTGACTGTTGCATGGCTCCTTGTCTTAATGCTCTACCACAAAGTCTGGCAGAGAAAATCCAAAGCAGATGGGAAGGAGGATGGGTAGTGGAGCACACATAGGGATACACCTCTCGAAGAACTCCAGTTATTGCACAAGATAAGTAACCTCTCCTTCTTTGAGTAGTGTCCCTATGGGTGTTCCATTTTAGGTGACTCCTGAGCAGTATCCTCATAAGGAGGACGGAGTCCAATACTGAAAAGAGATCAGCATTGCCAACTGAAACATCTGATCTAGAGACATGAACCAGAGCATGGTTAGGAGATAGTATATACTGAAGCTGAAATTTGCAGAGCTGCAACTTAAACAACTGGAACAATCTTGAGTAATGCCAGAGAAGTAGATTGCGACCTTGTGAAATGGGCTAACTCTCTAGAAGGAAGCTGAATATTGGCAGAATCATAACTAAATAATACATCCAGAGATCAATCTTGAGTCTCTGGGTGGAGACTGTAGAGCCCTTGGATCTGTTTGCAATTGAAAGTCTGGGAGAGGCGTTCAGAAAGCCTTCTATCTGGACAGAACCACACCAAACACCTTCCTGATGTCCAAAGTATAGAAGGCTGGTGTCAAAGAGGACTTCAGGATTTAGTTGGAGTGTGTGTGCTCGCTACATGCACGGGTGCCGAAAGTTTTTCCCTCAGTGGTATCCATAGGGGACCAGCTCTGGCACCCTTTTGTTCAAGCTCCTCTGACCATCATTATAAGATCAGACACATCCCTCTTGGGCTTTGACACCAGGACAGTGGATAGATTTCATAGGGCTTCTTTGGATGTGGTGATGGACAGGGCTTACCTACCGACTGACAGATTTTTCACCCTAAAGAATCTTTCAAGACCTTTCAGGAACCTGATTGTCATCTCATGCAAGAATACTGATCTGCCCTGGATGCGGGGATAGAAGACTGATATGGCCACCAGGTGCACCTTGATCAAAGAGAAGGTCAGGCCCTGGTGCTTTAAGTAAAGCAGGTAATCCAGAATGGACTGCAGAGACGATTGGGTCAGATTGATATTCTGCTCCAACGCCCAGCAGGAGAAGCGCTCCCACTTTGCCAGGTAAGTCACTCTCATGGAGGGCTTTCTACTTTCCAAAAGAACCCGCTGGACCTGACTAGACTAGGCATAGCATAGAATGGACATGAGCAAGCACTCAAAGAAGAAATATTTTTATTGCCACCTTCCCCAATGTATTTCTCTCTCTCACACACACACACACACACACACACACACACACACACACACACACACACTTACTTGAATTTCATCTTAAAATTTCTTTTTTACCTTTCCCTTCCACCTACATGGTTTAGGTGCAGTTTTGTTACCCATATTTCGTTTTTTAAAAATCTTTTTGAGAAGCAGGAACATCACAAATCCTCTAAGTAGTATTCCATCCCAATTTAGATATCAACACACATACAACCATAGGAAAAATGAAGAATGAAGCAAGAAAACAAATCTCTACCTGCAACAAGGTCACCTCCTGGTCCATGCCATTGGTATACTGGATCTATCAGCTCTGAATTTCGTAGCCGATTTGTTACACACAGAATACGTGGACTGTTGTGATTCACCTTGACATAAATTTTGACTGAAAATACAACATATGGTAATTAGCAAGTTTCTTAGGTAATAAAATTGCCTGTACAGTCAAGTAAGCCAGTAACCACAATCTTAAAATATATGTTTGAAGAATGACCCCAAGATATTGGGATTGGTCCTCTTATCTCCATCACCAGAAGTGAAATGTTAAAGACATTCTTTTTCTGTCCTATGTGAAATCAAATGAAAAGTGTTGAAGATTTGTTCCAGTTCTATTTCATATTCTTCTATAACATCTAAGTCTCTTCTGCCTGACTTGATTTAATCTAGTTCTCTAAAAAGAACATTGTACCTCCTAGTGCCCACCAATGACCCTTTTGGAGGAACAGAACATGTTTGCACATCCATCCAATAGGTTCTCACTTGTGGGGTTCTACAGAGTTTTATTTTGTCTCCCCTAGAGTTCAATCTGTACATAAAGTCAATGTGGGGGGACAGAGAGTTAGCTTAGAGTCTGGGTAATTTTGCCGTTAGTATTCTAATAGGCTCTTGCAGTTCTAGCTGGCCTGTGAAAGTGTGGATTGGGGGCCTTCTTTGTGTCCTTTTAAAAATGTATGTAGAACCATCCATAATTTTAGCAGTAAGAGTCTAAACTCAGGAGAAGATTGGTGTATAGCAAGTACTCACAATCCCACAACAACCTTGAGAAGCTGCTTTCCTGACATTATGTGACATGGAATATAAACTTTGTTGTGTGTGCTGAATGAGTACTTCTATTTCACAAAAAAGAAAGATTTAGTTAAGGTATTAAAGCTAAAAGTATGTTACAATGAAATCCAGCTAACTCCGAAACACAGTATTACATTTTGTTTACCAAAATTCTATACCTTTTAAACCTTTTACCAAATATTAGGCTGGGAAATTAACAATTAAAGGACCCAGCTAGTTCTCCAGTGCCATATAATTCTTCCATTATTCACTACCTCCCACTTGGCTTACATTACTCACCCAATCTTAAATGTAATCCTCTAAAATTTGCACACACAAAAAATAGTCATAGGTTAAAACACAAATTATAGGGAGAATATAAAATCCCATTTCCAATCCAAAGGAACAGGTCTGCATCTGAGGGAGAAAGTCACAATTGTTGTGGGGAAAAAAGCACATTGGCCACTGAAGGCTAGACTCTAGGATCAACTGAAGGTCACGAAGTACCTCTAAACTACAAATCTCATTAATGAAGGATGGGCATACCTGCTTCTCAGTGGGAACAGGATCCATCCCCACCACATTCCAGATCCTTCCCCACAAGACATCTCTCTTTCTTATTTGGATAAAGTATTAGCCAACTCACTCTTATGCAAACCCCTATCTCATCCAACCAGAATGAAAGCAACCACACAGCACTATCTGGGTCTGCTAAAAAGGGGATATAGGAGTTGCTTGCTATTAGCATACTAATGGCAAAATAGTGAGCATAGTCCCCATAATTATTATTCTTAACCACCAGTAAAAACTAAGGTTTATTATTCCATTTATGAATACCTGGAAATGTGGTTGATCCTACTATTTTCAAATCATTATGGTTTGGATTTGCAATTCCTGAGAATCTCCTTGAAGACTGAACTGTCAAAATATAAAAATTAAAATAAGAATTGAAAACTTATCTGGAAAAGTGAACAGTGAATTATAGGCTGATTTCTAAGCTTTAATAGATGTGTTCTCCTATTATTTGTAGTGGGATAGCACCATTAATACTAGGTGTGGATATAACAATTTTATACAAAAGTACCTCCCATTAAGTCAAATGACTAAGGCATGGATTCATAAAAGCATCCCTATTCTGCACTACACTAAAGCACATGCTTAACTTTAACCACATTCTTAAATATTACACAAGTGTGTAAATCCTATCCAGAATACGGATAGATTTAAACATGTGCCTTCCAGAATAGGTCCCTTAATCTGTGTACTGACCATTAATAAAACAAGTTTAACCATATTTATTTTATTACGGTAATCTCATAATTATAACAATCTAAAATAAAATGGTTAAATTTGTAGTGTATACATTTTCTATGTATAAGAATCCTGTACACCAAATAGCAACACATAAGAATCAAAGCCTGCTCACCTTACACAAAACTCCCCTTGACTTCTCCAAACAGTAACTTGAATACATTACTCATCTATATTAAGGCACAATTTAATAGCATGTATATTATACCCCGCAACTTTGGTTCCTCATCCCAAGCCCCCATTTCTTCAGCTCTATGTCCCAATCTTCCCACCACCCCCAGACCCTTTTCCTACCACCCCCGGGAACCTACATTCCAGTCAAGTTGCTTCCTCTCCCTTGTTCCCTGGGAACCAGCATGGGGACCACTGAGAGCACAGGATACCCAGTCTCACTGCTCTCAGTTCCTGTTCTTGGCACCATGACAGGCTCTTAATAGTCAGAAGGAGTAACTGCAGGGAAAGCCTTGCTCTGCTCGTTCATCCCTGGGCTGGAGCACATTCAGTACAATCTTCGAAGCATTGCCAAATGTGTTAACTGAGATTTTGTGGGACCCATAATTTAGCCAATTTTTGGCCAATTTTCATGAAGATGATCAAGAGTATCCCTGACACAAGGACTATACCCCATGACAAATCTCGAGTCCCTGCTCCAAAGAATGGGGCACTAGAGCATCTCAATTTAACAGTTTTAAGAATTTTTAACAGAGGCAAAACAATGTATTTTTTCCACTATTCTTGTTCTAAGAAATGGTTGAGCCATTTTTGCTAAAATTTTCTAAAATAATTCAACTTAAGGTAGGCATCTGGCACGGAAAATTACAGCCCAAAGGTTAAAGTTTGGCAAATTTATAAGGAACTGAAAACAGCATCTTATAGTGGAAAGTGGTGGGCAATTATAACAATAGGGATCACTACCTACACTGCCTTTAATATACATATGACTTTTTCTTTTTTTTTTTTCAGTAACCACAAATTATAATGAAGGCATTTTTAGTGTTTGTGGCCACAGATTAGATTAAACTGATTTTTAAAGACAGGATTTTTTCATATTTTCACATTCATGGTGACACTACAGGGCAGAATTAAGGATGTTTGAATGCCTTAATATTGTAGTTCCATACCTTAACGTGTTTGGATATCTCTTAAGTATAAGTTTAACTCTCAATTTTCCGAGTTTGTAATGCTTGGTTTGGGGACAAATTACAACAGCGCTGGTTTTTTTTTTTTTAATTACTAAAGATTGTTACATACTCTCAGTCTTGCCTCCATTTTACCAGTATTTTATCTTGGAATTTCCTTGGTTTATTTTAAAGTTAAAAGCTAATGAATATGAACACTAAATAAGAAACCCAATGAAAATGCTACCATGTGCTATTTCTAGTTATTTAAAAAAAAAAAAAAAAAAAAAAAAAACGACGACATGTACTGTCAACTTTAGATCTTATTTTAATTTTTGAGAGCAGATCCACTCATACATCAGAGCAGCACAAAGCAGCCAACCTGTTCAAACTGGGTTTACAGCAACTTTGCATCACTGGAACAGCACGGAACAGCTGAAGTGTACGGATTAATCTGGCTATTATCATGCAATTGACTTATTGATTATGGGGCAGTACTGTATTAGTGAGACTGGCGCTATGTGAGAGGGCTGAAGGGTGCCCCATACCTGAATCCCTGTGTCTCCACTTCGAAGGTTCCCACTGTATTCCTATGTCAGATCCCCCAGCAGAGTTGCCTGGATGTGCAATGGAGCTGTGGCAGCAGTACCTTGAGGAGTTTTCAAATAGTGATGCCAAAGCTAGCATGTGGTCTTGGAACTTTTAAAGAGCAGTGACAGTTGGGTCAAAGTAATCTGCCAATAAGAATTCATGGCACATGACCCCAGTCTAGCCCATACCACCGACTCCTTACAATCAAAATAACCATTGCATGCAAATTAGCTGTAGAAGGATGGTGATGGTGTGAGATACTTCTGATGTAACAATGGCCCATTTAAGAGTTACCTGAACTGTTGACCTGACCCCTATATGCTCATAAAACAATTAGATACAACATTGTAATTAAGTTAAATTATTAAATCTAATTTCTTCATATATAGCCTATGAACAAGATACCAATTTTCACTATGCGGGAAGTTCAGGGTCTTGTTAGTCTGTTATCATTTAGAACTGAGAAAAAGAATCATGCTAAATTTCTTGAAGGACTCAGTTTTTAATTAGTATTAGCTCACACTAATTAACAGATTTACTTGTAAATGCTCAGAAATTCACGCTGTACTCAAATAGTAAATGATGTAAGGCAGTGGACAATATGCTGTATTGTATTTATACATATGAAGGTTGAATACATGGATTTAAGTGCAAAATAGAACTCAATCTTAATTATGGAGTCACGACTGGTGACAACATAATGTCTAGATAGAGATGTGTTACAAAACAAGCAGCTCTTACAACTATTGAGTGAGCTACAATTTAGAATCTACTGCATTTTGTATGTTTAAATACTCAAACATAAGGTTGCAACCATTGCATTAAATTTAATTGAGTCCTTATAGTAGACCAATGCATTCTTAACTCTGAATTTCCTCCTTAGAATTAGAATTAGACTTTTAAAGTTATTTTAACCTGTGTGTGCTACATATTCAAGCAGATATAAAGCAAGTAGGGCTGTCAATTAATCAGTTAACTCACACGATTAACTCAAAAAAATTAACTGCAATTAAAAAAACTAATCGCAATTAATCACACTGTTAAACAATAGAATATCAACTGAAATTTATTAAATATTTTGGATGTTTTTCTACATTTTCAAATATATTGATTTCTATTACAACACAGAATACAAAGTGTACAGTACTTTGTACTTTTTATTGTAGTTTTTTACTACAAATATTTGCACTGTAAAAATGATAAACAAAAGAAATAGTATTTTTCAATTCACCTCATATATGTAGTGCAATCTCTATTGTGAAAGTGTAACTTACAAATGTAGATTTTTTTGGTTACGTAACTGCACTCAAAAACAAAACAATGTAAAACTTTAGCGCCTACAAGTCCACTCAGTCCTACTTCTTATTCAGTCAATCGCGAAAACAAACAAGTTTGTTTACATTTACAGGAGATACTGCTGCCCGCTTCTTATTTACAATGTCACCTGAAAGTGAGAACAGGCATTTGCATGGCACTTTTGTAGCCGGCATTGCAAGGTATTTACGTGCCAGATATGCTAAACATTCCTATGCCCCTTCATGCTCCGGCCATCATTCCAGAGGTCATGCTTCCATGCTGGTGATGTTCACTAAAAAAATAGTGTGTTAATTAAATTTGTGACTGAACTTCTTGGGGGAGAACTGTATGTCTCCTGTTCTGTTTTACCCGCATTCTGCCATATATTTCATGTTATAGCAGTCTCAGTTGATGACCCAGCACATTTGATTTACGAACACTGTCACTGCAGATTTGTCAAAACTCAAAGAAGGTACCAATGTGAGATTTCTAAAAATAGCTACAGCAGTCGACCCAAGGTTTAAGAATCTGAAGTGCCTTCCAAAATCTGAGAGGGATGAGGTGTGGAGGATGCTTTCAGAAGTCTTAAAAGGGCAACATTTTGATGCGAAAACTACAGAACCCAAACCACCAAAAAAGAAAATCAACCTTCTGCTGGTGGCATCTGACTCAGACAATGAAAATGAACATGCATCGGTCTGCTCTGGATCATTATCGAGCAGAACCCGTCATCAGCATGGACACGTGTATTCTGGAATGGTGGTTGAAGCATGAAGGAACATATGAATCTTTAGCACATCTCGCATGTAAATATCTTGCGACGCCGGTTACAACAGTGCTATGCAAACCCCTGTTCTCACTTTCAGGTGACATTGTAAACAAGAAGCAGTTAGCATTATCTCCTGCAACTGTAACCAAACTGGTTTGTCTGAGCGATTGGCTGAAGTAGGACTGAGTGGACTTATAGGCTCTAAACTTTGACATTGTTTTATTTTTTAATGCAATTTTTAATTCTACTTTTGTAAGTTCAACTTTTATGATAAAGAGATTGCACTACAGTACTTATTAGGTGAACTGACATACTATTTGTTTTGTTTTTTACAGTGCAAATATTTATAATCAAAAATAAATATAAAGTGAACACTTTACACTTTGTATTCGGTGTTGTAATTGAAATCAATATATTTGAAAATGTAGAACACAGCCAAAAATATTTAAATGGTATTCTATTATTGTTTAACATTGCAATTAATCGCGCAATTAATTTTTTTAATTGTGCAATTAATCACAATTATTTTTTTTAATTGCTTGACAGCCCTAAAAGCAAGTTTTATGAGAAACAATAAGGTTTGATAGAAATATAAAATTCTGAAGGAAAGACAAAAAAATAAAGTTAGTAATTCTAGTACAAGTCAGACAAGCCTTTCTGTTGTACACCTGCTGGAGTCAGAAATAAGCAAGGGTACACGGTGAACATTCTTGCTAGGTTTCGGTTTCCCAGTATTCTAGGTTCTTTGTCTTCACCCATTGTTTGGAAACAACATATCCTTACATCAGTGTAGGGTTATGTATATAATTTTAAATTCAGCAGATTACTTGGAAACTTGTAAGAGAAGCTATATAAATTAAGAAATAAGAATACTTAACACAATTTAGAAGTTTAGCAAAAATACTGAAAATTTGAATACATTATTAATATAAATATTAATACAATTTTATCAAAATTATCCAAAGTAATTGTAGTTTGGGCACAAATAATTTGCTGCTAAGAACAATGAGTTAAACTAGTAAGGCAATTTTTTTTTTGCAGTGTTAATCCCAAGACATGAGACAAAGTGAGTGAGATAACATCTTTTACTGGACAAACTTCCACCAACAAAGAAGTTGTTCCAATAGAAAATATTACCTCACCCACCTTCTGTGTCTCATATAATATTTTAGAAGACATTGTACAATGCAACATTTGACAGTACAGATTAACAACATGCACCAATTCATTCCCCTGCAGTCTCAAAGTAAAAGCAATGATGAATATATTGATTACTCTGTAGGAAGAAGACAGATGTGGAATGTACTTGTCTGGGACATAGGAGATTTGGGTTCAATTCCCAGCTCTACCATAGGTTTTCTGATAATGGGCAAATAACTTCATCTCTGTCCCTCAGATCTCCATTTGTAGAATATGGCTAATAATACTTGACCACATAAGGTTGCTGTGAAGATAAATACTCGGAAGGAACTCCGATGGATTTTGCCACGATGGGAGTCAGATAAGTATGTGAGATACCATCTTTCAACAAATTTGTCTCTACGTGTCATCTCAGAAGGTAAGCACAACTCTCCATAGAGATATGTTCAGGCAATAGAAAGCAACAATCTGTCTTCTCTTGGAATGTGTCATTCAAAAATGCAGTCATAGCCATAACAGAGTAGCCACATTCCTGATGAACTTCTGTGATTAAGAATTTCATTAATTTTGCAATAGTTCTTTATACTTTGTCACTTTCACACTTTGCTTGAAAGGGTCACCAATACATTTCCCTTCTCCCAAAAAGACATCCTGAAGCATTTCAGACTTTTTATACCACCGTTAAAGGTAGGTCTCTTAATACTGTTGCACATATATAAGAGCTGAATTCAATCTTCTCATTAAAACATGGATCTCCAAAGAAAAGAGGACCAGATTCTCAGATAATGTAAATAAGAACAATTGCCTTGACTTCAATGAAGCTATGCTAGTTTACATCAATTAATAATTTGACCCAAGGACTACAATGATTTTTCTGAACTCCTTTTGCCTATACTATATAATGCATAATTTGGCTGGGACATATTAAGAACATTTTATGGACTGACATGGGTTAATTTATATGCCATGACTAAACTTTTTAATGTTGATTTAAGTAGAGCAGTAGAATATAAAGTAGGAATGGATGAATCCAGGGTTTTTATTTGTTTGTTTTTTTCCCTTTCCTGTTGAATAGCAGGTCTGGATCTAAATAACACAATATCTTGACATCACTGGCTAACTTGCACAACAGGATGAACATAAAAAATTATAAGCAGCTAAAAACAGGATTATAACTGAAACACTCAGGCAAACTTCACTATAGCTAGGGCCCTATCAAATTCACAGCTATGAAAAATGCATTACGAATTGCGAAATGTGGTCTTTTGTGTACTTTTAGCCTATACTATACAGATTTCACAGGGGAAACCAGTATTTCTCAAACTGGAGGTCCCGACCCAAAAGGGGGGGGGGAGGTCACAAGATTATTGGGGAGAGGGGGGTTCGTGGTATTGCCACCCTTACTTCTGTGCTGCCTACGGTGCTGGATGGCCAGAGAGTGTCAGCTGCTGGCCAGGTACCAGATCTGAAGGCAGCAGCAGCGCAAAAGTAAGGATGGCATGATATGGTATTGCCATCCTTACTTCTGCACTGCTGCTGGACTCACCACCGCTCTCTGGCCACCCAGCCATGAAGGTAGCACTGCTGTCAGCAGCAGTGCAGAAGTAAGGGGTGGCAATACCACGACCCACCCTACATAATGTTGCGACCCACCCCCACAACCCGCTTCTGGGTCAGGACCCCCTACAGTTACAACACTGTGAAATTTCACATTTAAATATCTAAAATCATGAAATTTACTATTTTTAAAATCCTATAACCGTGAAATTGACAGTTGGTAGGGCCTTAACTACAGTGAATACTCCTGATATAATTACACATACACACATTTTTCTTTAAGCAAGCTCTATGGGCAAGTTAGAGATTAGTTCTAATACCACAATACTAGCAA